TCAGAGACTCCATCGCCTGGGTTGAGGATAGAAGACTGCCTCTAATGGTAGCGGCACTTGATCAGGCCAAGGCTTCGATCGCGTCAGTAGGGTTTTTTCTTTTCAGAGTGTTCGGTAGGTTAGGGTTTAGTGATCGCTTTAGAAAGTGGATCAAGATTTTGTATGTGGGAGCAGGGTGCAGGGTGAGCATAAACAGCCATCTGGGTGACGTGTTTGGCCTCTCCTCAGGGGTCAGACAGGGATGCCCGCTCTCTGCACTCCTTTTCGTGCTCTATATAGAGCCCTTGGCGGCTGCTATTAGGGCTGACGCAGGGGTGGAGGGTTTGCTGGTCCCTGGGAGCGGCGGTTTGCATGTTAAGGTGACACAGTATGCGATGACACCACCTTGCATTTGTGCAAGGACTCGTGCCTGCTAAGGTCTCTGGCCATAATTGGAGAACTTCACCCGCGCGTCAGGAGCGGGTCCTTAACAGATGACTTGGCGAGGTTAAGTATTTCGGCAGATGGTGGGGCAGGACGGACGTGCCCCGGGGGACTATCTCTGTAATGGGGCCCTGAGGATTCTTGGGGTCCACTTTGAGACCTCCGACTGCGACACTGAACTGGAACATGAGGTTGCTGTGGTGCCAGAGGAAGCTGGCAATGGGAAGGCTAGATATTTGTCTTTCTTGGCAAGGTCCTGGTCCTGAAGGTGGAGTACTGCCTTCCCTCTGTCATTTGGCATACATTTATCCATTGCCAGCGGAGCATGAGGGGGCTAGTATGGCTTGTTTCAGTTCATGTGGGGGGGAAGGTATGAGTATGTCGCCAGGGCTCGCATGCTCTCAACATGTACGAGGAGGTTAGACGTAGTGTTTGTGCGGCCCCCTGTGGTGGGTACCCCCTGCTGTGGTCTGGGAGAACATACAGGTTGCAGGGTTTGGACAACCGCCTCAAGGATCTAAATTGGTTAAACCTCACAAGTGCTTGCTGGTAAGATCCATCGTACCGGCTAGTTATCCGGTGCAGCCACTCGTGAGAGAGATACCCACTGACTCCTGT